ACCTCTTGTTACTCTGGTTTCTGAAAGCTGAACTTCTGGAGAGTGTAGATCCTTAAGATCTAATCATCACTCCTCCTGTCCAGATGCAAATGTTTCCTTTCAACTGGTACTGGATGTTAAGCATTCTTCTCGTCTACAATTAAGAATAATTTGTTTCTTTTTTGCATCATTTGCCGTATGTGGTGGACCCACAATTTGCCTGAGTGACGCCACTTTGTGGAGTGCTCCACGTGTTAGATTTTATCACTGCAGCTTGTATGTTGTTGCTTTATAAGGGGAGGTGAAGAATGGCAAAGTTCAGATAATGTGCCATCTGGAACCTCAGACTAATGGTCCACCACACTTGGCAAATGACACAAGAGAAAAACGAAGTATTCTTAAATGTAGACGAGAAGAATTCTTAACTATTTGCCACCTATAAGAAGAATACACCACAATTTTTAAATTGTTGTTTTTACTTGAGAGTTAGGTTGCAGGATCATAAACCTAGTTTTTTATTTTATTTTGTTCTCTGATGGGACATGGGTATTATTGGTGATGCCAGAATTTGTTACTCATTTCTAATCACCCTTAAAATGAGTGGTTTGCCAGGCCATTTCAGAGGCACTTAAGATAAACCACATTGCTGAGGGTCTGGAGTCACATGAAGGCCAAACCAGGTAAAGATGGCAGATTTCTTTCCCAAAAGGACACTTGTGAATGTGACAGATCTTTACAACAATTGATGATAGATTTATTGTCACCATTGCTAAGACTAGTTTTCAATTCTGATTTATTAACTCAATTTAATTTCCACCATCTGCTGTGGTGGGATTTGAACCAGTATCCCCATAGCATTAGCCTAGGCCTGTGGAATGCTAGTCTAGTGGTATTATCACTACACCATTGTCTGATCTAATTATATTATTAAGAAGGGCTTTTTTTCTTATTAATCACTTGTGGGACATGGTGGGCCAGCATTTATTGCCTGACCTTAGTTGACCTTGAGAAGGTGGTGGTGAGCAACCTTCTTGAGCTGCTACAGTCCATGTGCTGTAGGTTGACGCACATGCCTTTAGGGAGGGAATTCCAGGATTTTGACCCAGTGATACTGAAGGAACAGTGATATATTTCCAAGTCAGGATGGTGGATGGCTTGGAGGGAATTTGCAGGTGATAGTATTCCATGTATCTGCTGCCACTGACCTTCTAGATGGAAGTGGTTGTGTTCAGAATGTGCTATCTGAGGATTTTTCGCAAATTGCTGCAGTGCATGTTGTAGATGGAACATATTGCTGCTACTGAGTTTTGTTGTTGGAAGCAGTGGATGCTTGAGGATGTGATGCCAATCTAGTGGGCTGCTTTGTCCTATATGATGTCAAGCGTGTTAAGTGTTGTTGAAACTGCACTCATGGAGGTAAGTGGGCAGTATTCCGTCACACTCCTTTCTTGTGCCTTGTAGCTGGTGGAGAGGCTTAGGAAAGTCAGGATTACATTCTGTAGTGTGCCTAGCCTATGAGCTGCTTGTAGCCATTGTGTTTATGTGGCAAGTCTAATTGACTTCCTGGTCATTGGTAACTCTTGGGATGTTAATAGTGGTGATTAATTAAGTACCAGTTTTAACTTTCTGTGATGAAGACGCCAGAAATGAGCAGCATTTTGTTTCTCATAAAGGGGCATCAAAAGGCAGTTGAAACCATCTTGGTGTATTTTTAAAGCAGAAGTAGGAAGAGTCTTGAACACAACAGAAAGGTTATTGGGTTTTGCTTCCAGCAGGATATCTACTTGATATGCAATGCTTATGTTATCCCCATAACATAAGGAACAGAGTGTGGATAATATGATGTTGAAAGATCCAATGAAAGTTTATTGCACATTGCTAATATATAGAAATTTCGCATTCACAGGCACATCAGATTCTGGGCTAAAATTAGGCTATTAAGTTACACAGAGTAGCATGTCATGCTTCATGTGATCCTGAGGTAAGATGGAGATATACACTTTCAGACCCTAAGGTCACATGCTACAATGCAATGATGATATCATCAGCGTGTCTCTTAAAGGTATCCTGATTATGAGGCAGAACACAGCAGACGGGGAGGCAGGAATGTGGATTAATCAGATCAGCCATAACTGGTGGAGCAGTCTCAAGGGGCCAAGAGTTAATTCCTGTTCCTAATTTGTATGATCAATGGTTAATCCTTGTGTAGGTGCAGCAATTTCTTGAACTTGCAGGTAGCATTCCCTCTAATTTTCTTAGTGGCTGCACAGGCTTTCAAGGCCCTCGAGTGCAGACACTTCCTTGATCGGAACACTGGAGCAGTTGTACGGGCACGTGGCTTATAGGGAACACTGCTGTTAGGGAGTTTGGAGGGTGAGCGGCCATTTCCGCCAAGAAAATGGCAGAGAAACACTAATCACCCAGCATCTTGGGGCAATTTATCACAGTGCCCCCCACAACCTACTGCCTGGGTTGTACATGAATATTAGCGAGAGTCATTGGGCTCACAGTCATTCCGGTAGCAAATGCTGGACTGGTGTTTCTGAGGCAGAGTCAGCATTGTGAGTGGAGAGTTACAGGAGGGAATCATTCCAGGGCTACATTTGGAATGTTTTCCTTTGTCTCTGACCAAATATGGTGATGAATGGGATTCCACGATTCCCAACCCTTCTGATTCTGCTTGGGAAAGTGTGTGGGGAAGGGAACATCTTAGGAATTTGCCTGCCTTGTTGCAGTGGCTTTGTACAGATTGTGGAAGATGGTACTGCAAACCCAAAAAAAAAGCCCCGGAGTTCAAAAGGAATGTTGGCAAACAAAAGCCATGAGTGAACATCTGGCACGTCGAAAGAAAGCTGAATGCTTTCCAGATGTCTAAAGCTGTGGGCACAAGTAAGAAACACTTCTCACAGATTCTGCGACTGAGCCTCAACACAGCAGGAATTAGCTTTCCCTGTCGCAACATTTTAGGAGATCTGTCCGACGGGACCCTATGCAGCCTGGGACTTAATTGGATCAAGAAGGTAAACATAATTATGTACATGAGAGTGTGTTTGGCAGGAGGATCTTTGGTTGTGGGGTGTGGGGGAGGGTCTCAAAGGCAGTATCCCCCAAGCTGCAACCCCAGTCATACTTAGCAGTCTGTTGCTTATCGCCAGCTGGACAGAGTAAGAATTCCAGGTCTGGCTGTGTCCCAAAAGTGTTAACTCTGAGGGCTAGTCTCCCTGCCCACTGCCATGAGCACCTTTAATGGTGGCTAATCGTTACAGAGCCTCACGTAATCCTACATTTTGATGGGGATTGAGTAGTTTACTGGTGAGAAAATGAGAGACATTGGGGCTGGGTCTTAGACTGGACAGGGAGTTCCTAGCAACAGGAACAAACTCCCAAAGCAGCTGTCATCAAAGTCCACCTGCTCCTTAGAAAATGTTGAGACTGGAGGAGGCTTTTCAGCCCCTCGAGTCTGTTACTCAGGGAAAGGAGGGACATTCAGCCTGTCAAGCCTGTTACATGGAGACAGGAGCAGGCCATTCATTTCTTTGAGCCTCTTACAGAGGGTCAGGAGAAGCCATTCATCCTTTTGGGCCTGTTACACAGGAGCATGAAGCAACCATTCCGCTCCTTTAAGCCTGTTACACAGGAATAAGAGGAGTCCATTTAGCTCCCAGAGCCTAAAACATTGGAGTGAGAGAGGACACTCTGAATTTGAGGTTATTTAAGAACAGGGGGAAGCCATTTAGACCTTGAGTCTATTAAATAAAGATAGCAGTAGGCCATTCACTGCTTTGAGCCCATTAGATAGGTCTAGAGGAGGACATTCAATCCCTCAAGTGTTATAAAGGAAAAGGTAACTCAGCCCCTTGAGTCTGTTCTACTATTCTGTAGATCAGATCTCAATTTCAAAATGAGAAAATTATCAGAGACATGGATAGAATGGATAGTTGGAGTATTTTTCCCCAGGGTAGAAATATCAATTACTAACGGACTTAGGTTTAAGGTAAAAGGGAGAAAGTTTAAAGGAGATGAGAGACAAATTTTTTTACATAGAGTGGTAAGTGCCTGGAATGCGCGGCCAGATGAGGTGATAGAAGCAGAAACAATAGCAAGATTTAAAAGGTATCTTGACAGATACATGAATAAGTGGAGAATAGGGGGATACGGACCACGTATAGGCAGCAGGTTTTTGTTTTAGAAAGGTGTCATGTGTCGGCACAGGCTTGGTAAGCAATAGGAGCTGTTCTTGTGCTGTATTGCACTTTACTCTTTGTTCATTTACCCCTCTCAGCTACATATTGTTTTGAGTCCATACCTCACAAAAATCTCTGTCTTGAAGATATTAATATCTGTTGCTCTGGGCAGAGCATTCCAGCACTCCACTATCCATGAGTGAAGCTGTGCTTCCTGGCATCAACCCAAATTACCTGGCTCAAATGTAAAGCTTCTGGCCTCATGTTCTTCTTGGCTCCCCTTCCTGTACCAGAAGAAACAGTTCATCTCCATCCTGCCCAACCACTCCTTCAGCCATGAATGAAAGAACAGAGTTAACGTTTCGTGACCCTTCCTTTGAGTTAATAATTTGGATTATGAAAACAAAGTTGCTGGAAAAGCTCAGCAGGTCTGGCAGCATCTGTGAAGGAAAAAAGAGTTAACGTTTCGGGTCCGGTGACCCTTCCTCAGAACGTTTTTCTTTAATTTTTCACTGTTCAGAGGAAGGGTCACCGGACCTGAAACGTTAACTCTGTTTTTTCCTTCACAGTTGCTGCCAGACCTGCTGAGCTTTTCCAGCAACTTTGTTTTTGCAATCCAAATTATTAACTTATCATACAAAGTTTTTTTTTCCAAACTGTCCTGGCTACTTGCTGGCTCCTTACTCAGCATTCTGATTGGTGCAGGCTCAATTCAAATTGTTGTTCATCATATGCTTATCCGGGATGAATCATCAAACTGGAAATGTAAATATCCAAGGAGAAGGAGCTCTGAAACAGAAAGTTTGATAAAACGTTTTCTGGCTTCATTTACTGCAGGTTGCATTCTGTGCTTGGGTCAGTCAAATTACTTTCGGTTCAACCATCCCATAGAAGCCAGACGAATCAAGAACATGAAGCCCGACAATGAGATCTTAATCTCCTCACCCAACTTCATTCCAGGTAAGAGGCAGGTTAACAATATTAAGGCCCAGTCATGATTATCTGTGTCAAATCCCATAGGGGGCAGTGGTGGGCTGCTCTATCCATCAAAACAAGGGAATGCTTTGCTTATTTTTGTGTTTCAAGACGCTGAGCATGCACTGTTCCAGTTCTCTCTCTTATTTTCAAATGATTTTAATCTGCCTTTTTGCAGTAGATTCCAGAGTCTAGTTCCCACTTCCAACAATATTTGACAACCCACATCTGCAGCATTCTTCACCACCTCAGTATTTCAAAAAAGCTCAGCTAAGGAGTTTTGCCCACTGTGATACTTTTTGCTTTCATGTTTATCTTTGAGAAACTGAGAGCCATTCCTACTGTTGTTAGCTAGTCCCAAATACCAACACTCCCCCAAAGTCTCTGGCCAGTTTACTAAACCTTTAACACTGGCTTTTTGCTGCTCAGTGTTTGACTTAAGCCTCTACGCAGTGGTAAAGCAGAAATACAGGAAGGCTTAATGCCCAGAAAAAGTACACAATTTAAAGCCATTTAGAAGAGCCAAGGTAGCTCTGATGGTTCAGCAATGGCTTTGCAATTAGATTTACCTAGGTTCACGTCCCTGTTTTCACTCTGCTTTCGGTACAAAAAAAAGTAAGGAAAATTGCTTTCTTGTGATTGGACAGTTAGTAACTGGAGGAGACAGACTTAAGAGGATTGGGAAAACAGTCAGAGGGGAGATGCAGTTATTTTACACAAAGATCAGAGTGTTCTACCTGAGAGAGTACTGGGTGCAGACTCAACAATACATTTCAATTGATTTTGATTCATACCTGAAAGAGCTTTTTGTCAGGAGTGCAGGGGAAAAACAGGGAATCTGGTCCACTGGACATCCTTGTTGGACAGGCTGAGTCTGTATCCATTGGAGTTTTGAAGAATGAGAGGTGATTAACCCTGAGTGGACTCAACTGGGCAAGAAGCTGTGAGGACACAGAGACTAGAACAAGGGGACACAGTGTAAAAATAAGGAGCCCCCTTTAAGACCAAGATTAGGGTGTTGTATGTCTATTGAACCTTCTTCCCAGAGAGTGTTGGGGACAGGGTCATTGAATATTTTTAACAAATAAACTGATTGACAATTTAGTAGAAGAACATCGGGCTTTTGGAAGGCCATATAAATAACATCAGTAGACATTGGGAGGAGGAGATAATGGCATAATGGTAACGTCACTGGATCAGAAATCCAGGCTAACCTTTTGGGGAATATGTATTCAAACCTCATTATGACAGCTGGTGAACTTTGAAATGAATTAATAAAATCTGGAATTCAAAACTGCTCTTAATGATAGTAACCATAAAACCAGCATCAGTTGATGTAAAACCCATCGAGTTCAATGATGCCCGTTGGGGAAGGAAATCTGTCATTCTCACCTGGTTTGGTGTATATGTGTGGCTCTAAACCCACACCAATGAGTCTTAACCGCCCTCTGAAATGGCTGTAAACCACTGAGTTCAAGGACAGTTGAGAAAGGGCAACAAATACTAGCCTAGCCAGTGACACCTGCATCCCATGAAAAAGGAAATAAATATACACTGTCCATTACTTTAGCCAGTACTGCAAAAGGGTTAATCAGATTTGCTTACCCTGACTCACCCTTTTACTGGCTGTCTCTGACCAGCTGAAGACTGTCAATTTTTTATTTTTGACTAATGGTCAAGTAATTCTTTCAAACCAGGCTTCCTAAAGTGAGGAGTAGAGTTGGATGAACACAGCAGGCCAAGCAGCGTCAGAGGAGCAGGAAAGCTGAAATTTCCGACCTAGACCCTTCAGAAATGGGGGAGGGGAAAGGGTTTCTGAAATAAATAGGGACAGAGGGGGAGGCGGATAGAAGATGGATAGAGGAGAAGATAGGTGGAGAGGAGACAGACAGGTCAAAGAGGCGGGGATGGAGCCAGTAAAGGTGAGTGTAGGTGGGGAGGTAGGGAGGAGATAGGTCAGTCCAGGGAGGATGGACAGGTCAAGGAGGCGGGATG